TGTGGGAAAATTTGTGAATTATTATCTCGAGTCGGGTGTTGGTGATATCATATTTATTGGACACGAAATGGACCTATATGGATCGTTTTTAAGTTGTCGCTGTGAAAAAAAAATCTTTTTTGTTTTTCTCTTTAACTGCGGAACAAATTGCTTTGAAATTTTCAGTGGTTAACGTTTGTTGTTATCGCTAGAAAGCTATTACTTTTATTCATTTTAAATATTATTCAATCATTTTATCTCTTAATCAGGGAATTAGCTCTAGTGACCTATTTCCATAGAATTCAACATACTATTAATATCGAGGCGTTAAAAAACATTGAAATCCATAGTTACAACCCATATTCGCTACACGGGCTGTGGTTCCGCAATCACAACTCGGTGATCTGTTCATCAGACCACCGGTACGGTAAAAGATTTGGTAGTGCTTCGTTTCGGCTTTTATCTCCATATACTTTATCTATGTATTGGCCTCTTGGCTTAGTTAGATTATTCCAACACTTTAATAACACTTCTAACAGAACAAATTTGAAATTTCTATCAGTAAAATTCTAACCTCTAAGAGCCTGTGGATTCTACCTGCTTCTATTACCCGCCTTCACACTAAAATATTTTTTTTGTTATTTTTCTTAATTCTGTATGTACAATGTTTACTTTCGGCATGTGCAACAATAAACTACCGACTGACCCTTCTTCCCCCTCTAAAATGAAACGCTGGGGAACATAACGGAATACAACTTATTTCGAAGAAACGGCATTTTTATGGTTTGTAATTGCCGACCTAATGTATCACAACATAAACAAATAGTAAAATGATACTTAGAATTAGGCGGCGACCGAGCGAGCAATACTAATTACTTCATATAGCATACATCATAATACATTCATACACGTTTCCGGAAACAGTCATTATCGCAACTCATATGTATTTCAAGTGATTCGCGAGTCCTTCTGCAGAATAACACAAATATATTATCTTCATGAACTGACTTGTTTAATCACTATTCCCCTGACGAACTCTCTTCGATTCGACTTGTATTTCCCAAATTGTATTCACGCGTTTGTTGAAAAACAATTAGTTCGTATCATTTGTTCCTCGATTTAATTAACGTCATTTGCTGCTGGACTCAGCAAAGACGTTGTCGCTGACACGATTACAAAATAGTCTTTCGCGGCCACTTGTCTATTGTGGTCGAAATATTGTATATGTTTTTTTCGATTGACAAGTAGCCTACCGTATATGTCAGACATGGACAAAGCACGACCCGTGGGTGAAATCCGGCCCGTTGGGTAATTTAATTTGGCCCGCCTGATGCTGCCACAGCCAACCTGAAATCAAATTTTGATGTTTCAGCTGAAATAGCTCAAGGAATTCGTTGAGATTGCGGTTAAATTTAGTTTTGACACGAGGCCTATTGTTTTTCACCTTTGCTTTGTAACACTGTAATTGTTCATAGAATGCAACTTTTTAAGTCACACTTACATGGCCCGCCAGAATTTTTGGCCCCTGGTTAAAAAAAAAACTGGTATATATGTTCTTTTGTTTCATCGGTACAATGTTTCATGCACGATGAAAATAAATACTGTATCTGAATCTAAACTTCTTCATACTTCTCCAGACATACATAATCAACGCTTATGATTTGGTTTCTGCGGGACCAATTACTTATTCTTCTTCTATTTTTTGTGCTGATGGATTCGTATGCATATGATGCAAGGATGCTGTAACAAGAGTAAAGATACGTAACCTAAGTGATTCAAGATTTTTGCTGCACACTAACGCAAATATATATCTGTAACGTTTCGTCTGACCAAGTTGCAAGTTATTTCTCTTCAAATAACCCAGCATCATTGCGATATAGATCGTAATACACGGCTAGTAGACTGCTCGTGCAAACTCCACTGCCATTATTTGCCAACAATAGCTGATAGCCAATCATTAACCAAGATTTGCTGAGCAAGGGTAGCAAGTAGGACTGTCCCAGATAATAATGTTTGCTTATATATAAGTTGATATTTATTGCTTAGCTTATGCTTATTATCCATACTGGAAATAGGAGCATACGTTTCCAGTTATTATGGTAATATATTTACATTCGCATGGGATAACATTTTTTTTGCATTCGATTGCATTATTTATAGTTTTGAAGAAAAAGTTCATGATATGGCGAAATTCACCAAAGCGACTTTTCTTTCATGAATCCCAATGCGTGCCGTCGGGATACCATGTTGTTATATGTTTCCCACGTAATGGCATTGTAAGTCATGCTTTTGGGATTTTTTATTTTAAATTGATCTACAATAATTTGTTGGACTACAACTATAGCATAGGATTTGAATATTTATACCAAGGGAGAAGGAAGCCGATAAGACGACTTAATCATGGGCGGCGGTGTGGCTCATCGTGCTAAGCGTTAGGAATACGCTCGCCACCGCACCTTTAATAACTCTGCGTGGGTTCGCAGGTTCGACTCTCATGCAGCGATAGTTATGTGCGAGAGAATTGCAGGAGTTCTCGCCGCCATACGGTGGTTCACGTAACGGTTGATCGATTCCGGCTTCTTCTACCGTCAAGTCCATGCTTCCGAAAACAAATAACTAACCATTCCCATATCAGGCATGAAATGGTGATCAGATGAGAGGCCGTGGCTCGCCATATAGTTAATCCGTTTTATCGACTTTCCTCTCTTCCGGCATAAATATGTAAATCCAATCCTAAATTCTATCATATGTCGAGCCACAGCCTCTCGTCCGGTGACCATTCCAAGTCGGGTATGAAATTAGTTATCCAGTTCAATGAGTATATTCTCATTGGCCAGATTATGTTTTCAGATGCATGGACTTGATGGTGGAGGAAGACCTAATCGACTGGCGTTTACGTGAACCACGCTACGGCGGTGAGTAGTCCAAGAATCCTGTCGCACATAATTAACCAGTTGATTCGAACCTGCGAACACGAGCAGAAGTGCCGTGGAGAGCGTATTCCTCACGATGCGCCACACCGCCGAGTCGACTACTCAAAAAATTTTAGTGACTTAAAATGTATATGTACAGTCCTATATGATTTCAGCAGCTCTTGGTTTTCCTATAGTCGCCCGAAACTTTAACAAACTTCTCCCACCTAGGTTGCGATCACGAGCAGGTTGAACCAGCCATTTGTGAAAAAAGAATTGTTGCGGACACAACGATGAGCTAACCCGCATCCGCCGTCAAAGTACTGATAACTAGTACCACGGCCGTCAGCCGGTGAGTAATTGTTAATCAAGTTTTTAAGATAGTATTTCAGCCCCTATATACAACTAATTCCACTGTCGTTGGTCAATGTGAAATAAAATTGTTGAACGAATTTTTCGTTTTTCGTTTGTTTGAGTGATAAACAGCGACGAAGTCAATAAACTCGACTCCTTTCACCACCTACTCAACGTTTTGCGCGACTGGAAATTAGCGTCCGTGACGACAGTTTCTCTCATTTTTCAAAATTATTGTCTTTTGTAAACTGCTATTAAGTTTCTTTATTGTTAGGAATCATTCGAATTAAATAGGCTTCATGATGCTAATTATGTCTAATTAGACGGATTAAGTAGAATAGAAGTCTCTCGATAATTTGTAAGGTCAGGCGCTTATTTTTGTTATGTCAGTCCCGCCGTTTGTTGGCTCGGCGGCAATCGGGTTTCGGGGATTTTTACAGCAGCACAGGGTATTCTGGAATAGTATGCAGGGATTTCAGAGATTAGTTTGTTGCTTTTAATAACTGGTTAGTTCTGATTGCTTGCCAAAACTTGAGCAAATAAAGAATTGACGACTCGGTTATCAAATTCCTGAATTCTGAAATTGAATAGAATAGGATTTACAGACATACTGACATAGGATAGGATAGGATTTACATATTTATCCCGAGGGAGAGGAAAGCCGATAAGACGGCTTATCCATATGGCGAACAACGGCCTCTCGTCCGGTTACCGGTACCATTCCAAGTCGGGTATGGGATTAGTTTTACTGTATTGTTTGTTTTCGGAAGCATGGACTTGGTGATGGAGGAACAGAGGAAGCCGTAACCGACCAGCGGTTACGTGAACCACCCAACAACGGCGAGGAGTCCAGCAATCCTCTCGCACATAACCATCCCTGCATGGGATTCGAACCTGCGAACCCACGCAGAGTAATTAGAGGTGCGGTGGCAAGCGTATTCCTAACGCTTAGCCCGTTGAGCCACACCGCCGCGTCGTTTACATACAGACATATTGAAAGACATCAATAATAACAGACAACAGTGAGTGCAAACCCCTCCTTAGAAATAGAGTCTGACCTTTAATGGATGTTGCTGCTTGATGCTGTAACACCAGTGTCCTGGTGTCAGGGTATTGGCATCTTCATTCACCATGAAATCTGGAAATGTAGTTTGTTTATAATTTATAGTCTTTCCATTCTTTCAAGACATTCAAATTACGTCTACACCTGTATACAGATACACTGTACTGGATCAAATAGTCATGATTACTGTATTATCTTGAGTGCTCTAAGAGTAAAGCTCGAAAGTTCAATACATTCGCTTATCTTTTTCTGTTTTTTGTTTATTTCTGGCCCAAGTTTCGTTCTGAACCAGCTTAGTGTTTTTATTAATTTTTTTGTGTGTGTGCTGATATTTCTCATGTTTTAAACTTTTTTAAAGGATTTGCTCGATCTCCAGAATTCTCCATTTATAATTTGTGTGTTATAAGGAGTTTTCATAATAAACTATCTATCTCTTATTACCGGTACATGGTGAAAAAAATCAACCAATGTTACTGACATGGACAAACCGGCATTGCGAAATGAACTAAACTAAAAAACATCACCATTGAGTTCCTCGGTTAAAACTGATCTAATTTATCGAATAAATAAAATAACTTTAGCATTTGAGAGTAAACAATACAATTTTGGTCACATGACGGCCGACGAACAACCCTATTGATTTAAATAATAAACCTCATTTCAGAGACAAACAGATTGTGTTTCTTTTTTGCAGAAATTATATTTCTACTTTATTTTCTATCAGTATTATATGTTTGAGTCAAATGCAGTTCTACAAAGACTTCAGTCAAACAGTATTGTGACATCATAAATATGGCATCAGGGACAACAAATGGGGACGATGTAAGCCTTCTTCTGTAACTCACAAATATGTATAGGATCCTTTCTTTAATGTTTTCAATTCCAATATACCTATTCTTTGCTTTGGATACAATTAATCATGCTTTTCTTGGTGTTTTCACCATTTTTATATTAGCTATAGCTTTTTAGCTTTTTATATTAGCTATTAGCTTATGCTAATTATGTGCTGGCTAAGCATGGCGTTATATATAGTTCGAAATCTCGTATAATTGGACTCTATTTTGTACATTAGGAGATGCTAGGAGTGCCTGTAAAATATGGTTTAAATAAGATTGGTAACTGAAGCTGTTAACTCAGTATAAATGTATAATCAGTCCATAAACATAACCAAAGTAACTTTCATGACCCGCCAACAGGAATGAGCTGTCAAGTACAGAAAGCACATGGCTACTTTACGTTCACAGCTGGTTGGTTATGATCAGTCATCAGACTGATGATATCACAGAACATGCTCAGCCCTCTGGGAAAATGCTAGTTGCCAGAAATATAACAAAGATACAGTCGACAGAAGCTAGCTCGAATTTTGAAAACCTAATTGCTCTTTATCTGTAAAGAGAGAGCTATCAAGAATCAACATTTGTTAAAACATCCTTTGAGTAATTTATTTTAAACCTTTTTTTTAGGCTGATCTTCGAGCTCCAAGGCGTCGTCAACCTTCACAAAGACTTGGAATAAGCGGATATGAGATTCATAGAGCAGTTCAAGCACTGCAAGGTTGGTTTTTCTATTTAATAAGATCATAGCTCAAAGCAGGCACATAAAAAAGAGATTATTTCTAAGCCCACATTTCCAACCAAGGAGAGATTCTGTCTGTTTTGGTGATGAATTTTGCTTTGTATATGCTGTAGCCTGTGGTATAACTAATATTCATCAGTTCTCTATTATTTCCCATTTATGCACACATTTACTTGAACTAACTGAACCAAAACGTTTTTTTGCTTGATATCAAAAATTTTTATTCAATGTCGCCGCATATCACTAATACAATACAAGATTAAACAAGTCAAAGGTCGATTGGATCAACTGAAGAATCTCTCCCCTCCGGACCTGCCTGGGGAAGAGATTCTTTAGTTGGACTCACCTGGGGGGAAATTCTTCAGTTGGTCTTAGTTGGGGTGGAGATTCCTCAGTTGATCCTGTTTCCCAACTGATAAATATACCCCTCCCCTAACCCATCTGAGCCGATAATACCAAATTATCCTTTATTTGACCTGGACTAATTATTTTGGTAGGGTTAGGGTTAGATGGTATTAGTTGGAGTGGAGATTCTTCAGTTGGGTACCCTGGGAGAAAGATTCTTCAGCTGATCCGATTGATTAATTGACTTTGATTGATTTTTTAAAAGTCGACTAAATTTTTTGAATATATTAATTTAAGAAATCAGAATAGTGAATTATCCACGTTCAGCCTTTTCTAGATTCGGTATTTAATTGCACTTGATTTTAAATCTTATATAGGAATTAATTAAATGCCTGTTGATTGAGCACTTGAAATACCAAAAGCATATTATGAGTGGTTGGAATATGTTAAGTGTTTTTTTATTGGACATGAGAATCAGAATAAAATTAATGATGCGTTCCAGAATAATACAGAGTGTCCATAAAGTCCCTTAACAATTTCATATTTGTTATGAAGTCAGTTCTCAATATATCTTGACCAGGTTTTTTTTTTTTTTTTAAATATCAGTAATTGTTCAAGTATTTTTACTTCATTTAATACATCTGTGAGGGCCAAAAAAATATATTATGGTATCTATAAATTCCCTTTGCAATTTTTAAATTTTTTTTAAAAAATCATAGAAACCTTATATATTCAAACATGCAGTCATGTTCATAAAATACCACAAAGAATTGAGAATGAGACTGTTTTAGATATACAAGACAAATATTTTTTTACCTTGCCCATTGACACCTTTCACCTCTACAATATGCGTTGTGATGATCTGTTGAAGAATAATATATTCAAATATTTACTAAATTGGGTCGTGTTCAAAAAATAACACAAAGAATTGAGAATGATTTTGTTTTAGATTTGCAGGACAATTATAATGAGCAGTGATTTTTTATACCACACACATTTATGGCGTTTGCTCTGAACAAGACCTTGTACAAGTTTACACTGATATCTAATCTTTCTTCTTCAGGATTTCTTACCCAATTTATTATACCCTGGGTGAGGTGGGGGCATGACATTTGAACCTGATATATGTGTAATCTGCGATGCCCACACAGTTAATTTTAATGCTTTAACACTTAGGCCGTTCAAAATTGCTTCGATTAGCTTTCCATTTTTTATAGTTTTCAGAATTAAAATAGTGGTATTTTTGGTTTTATTGTAAGACTTCAATTTCACAAAAGACTATTTCCCCTGTATATCCTCGCATATTAAGCAGAGTTTAGAACTCGAAAAAAAAAAATTGCTAAACTAAGTGATCAGCTTATTCGCGCATATCTATGATTGCACTCAAATGAAATTACATTATGCTAACTTAATTCCAACAGCTACAACTCGAACCATGCTAAGTTTTTACAATAAAAGCGTACAATATTTTATAGGGTCAACTTTATGCGAATTTTTATAAATCCACCATTTTAGGGCCATTATTAGGAAGTCAGATAATATGCGAGGATATATTGTATTTTGGATCATTCCCAAAGTGAAGAATTTAAAATATTGAATATAATAAATTTCAAAACAATCCAAATTTCAAATTCACTTTGCTGTGTATGGTTACAAACATATCAAATTAAGGATGGATATATTATTGAGATTAATTTAAATTCCGATTTCTAAAACAAACGTCAGAATTATCGCTTTTATTTGCACATACTGTGGGACATTTATGTTCAACAAACTTGTCATCAGTACTGGCTTGTAAGTTTGAAATTTTATGGCGTCTTGTACACAAGGTATAAATAACATGGTGGCATTTTTCATTGATTTATTAGCGTCTGGATATCAACGTTTGTAAATAGTTTTGAGTTGCGCAAACAGTGAGTGAGTGCGTGATTCAGTCTGTTTTGTGGAAAGTGTACGTTGTCTTGAAATTATGGATAACTATTTTGCAATAGTTTGGTATTCTAAAATTTGATTCTAAAATTCGGTTTTCAATTAATTTAAATACCGAGTGCAACTATTTGACACCAAAATGGAATAGGCCATTAGTAGCAAAAAAATTTTCACAAAATGGCACAGATCCAACCTACTTCTATCTGAAACAAAATGAAAAATACAGATCAATACAAAACATCGATATGTAGTTTTTTCTCTAGGGCATTTATTCCTGGAAAAATCCCCATGGGTCATTTATGTTTTTGTAATTTCAAAATATTTCACGCTGTAGCAAATGACTAGTGACAAACTACTATCACCATCTTTAAATACTGGGAATTTCGGCGCTCCAGAAGTATTTGTACCAATATGGAGGTAACTAATTTTGTTCGCCTAATTTACATCAAGTTGTGTAAAGGGACTGATTACTATGGGAAGGGGAAATATTCACTTAGCTAACACAGACAGACCTGAACTTGTAGTAGAACTAAAACGAGGAAAATCGGGATAAAATTATGCCCTTACCCTAACCTGGTACACATACTACGGGAGTACCGAAATTTGGGGCATTAGCACAATTTTTGTTCACAACAATTTAGCAAAAATATTCAACGACCCATAGGCCTGCTCTGTGTCCAAAACAAATATTAAATACAAGCAATAACAAAACATCAATAGATTTCTTTTTGGGAGATTAATTCCTAGAAAAATTATCAACAAAAGACCTAAGCGTTACTTTAGAAATATAAAGGATAATTTGTTTTCGTTACTAGTAGTGAAGCGTCGGGTGTTTAGTTAGGTTTTTGTTTTCGTAAGATTTAGACAAAAGATGGATATAAAGCAGACTTTGTATAGCACAGCAGATTTCTTCATAAAATTATCACCGGGCCTATCATTTCCCATAGATAATGCAATATTGAAATATGCAAAATATCTATGTTTTATCTTATATCAGACATGGCACAGCCATAATGCTTTCTCATAGCGTCTGAAAAATCTTGAATTTTTTTTTAATAATTATCAAATTTGGGTCGAATGTAAATCGGATATTTTTTCTTCAAGTTATCTCTGGCCAATGTTAAATCACTGATAAGTATTCTGCGAATTTGTCAACTACTTTTGTTGTTTTAAGGAGTTTTATGATGGAATAATAGAAATTTCTTAACAATGGTTGAGTGTTTACTTGACACAATGCTCATTGATGACTCACAATAAGCTCCTGTTTGTTTTGTTCTTAACTTCTTTGTTCTGTGATAATAGTGGTAAAACTCACTCAGTTAGTCTGGTAACTACAACTTATCCTCATTTAAAAAAAAAAATTTAAAATAATTTGGATACAGATATTTCAAATTCAAAAACGAATTTCAGGGCTTTCAAGTAATTCAACACAAATACTTATTTTTAGGGGAAAAAAATGATTTCAAGTATCTGTATGTATAAATAACCAATTCTTATCACACAAAGCAATCCTTTTTGTTACGTTACTATACATAAAATATCTGTAATAATTTGTTTTTCAATCTATAAAGGGTAATTAGCTTGTGATATTCAAAACTTGCACTTTTGCTATTTTGCTGTTTGAATAGCTTATAATGTGTGAATAAACGTAAGTACTCCCGAAGTATGTGAACCAAGATGGCTGACACCCGAACGTAGCATGTGTACCAAGCTAGGATTAGTGGAGTTCGAGTTATGAGTTCGTGGACTAGCCAAATGACTCTCGTAGTATTTGTACCTGAAATTATGGACTAATCCTAGCCTGGCACACATACTACGTTCCGATGCCCGTAATCCTTGTTCACATACTTCAGGAGTACCTAAATGTAATTATAAAAATTCTGGTTGGAAAGTGCTGATCAAATGTTAACAAACAAATTTTTTTGATTTTTCTTATATCAGCAGTAAATGTAAATAGAGTAATGAAAATTTGTATTAACTTTGCATCATTTTTCAGATCAGCACCAAACTGTACAGAAAAGAACATTCACAAGATGGATGAATTCACATTTATGCAAGGTAACTAAAATTGCATCAGATGAAACACCATTTTATCATACTGGGGGATGGAATTTTTTCATTTCCTGATAACCTTCTTTGATATTTTGGGGAGTATAACTATTCACTTCATTCTAGGGACACTTATTACTTATCGATTTTAATCGGTAAGTATGTTTATAGGTATTTGTCTGTCTGTCTGTGTCTGTGTGCATTCATCATATCTCGGACCAAAAGCCTATTGATTTTGGGCGAATTATGTTTTATAATTAGCGAGTTATTACTTAATTAGTGATGGGACACAAGGTGTCACTATGGGATGAGAGCGCTGATTTGGGGGATCCCCTAACTTTCGATTGATAAGTCTTCGGTCTCTGACCGATATTCTCGTTTCATTTTTGGCACATACATTATTTTAATCTAGGGCTCCAAACTTTTTTCTGGTTGTGAAACATTTTTCATTCTTGGATTACAACTTTACTTTTACTTTACAAATACAAAAATTTCTTTTGCCCCTGTATAGGTATGCGGTCATGAAGTAGCAAAATGGTTTTCAAATTCCCAATCCTTGATCCAGTTCAACCACTTGGCAATTGAAATCTTGCCTTGGGAACGGGTTCGTTATCAAAGTGGCATTGCTGCATGAACCCAAATTTGGTCTGTATGTAAATTGTGCAATGATGCATCTCTATGATGAAAAAAGATTTTTTCCGTCACTTTAGTGATTTTTCTATTAATGTTTGACAAGATTTGTTTTTGAAGAATCTAGTATTCGAAACGATTTTTGTTTCAACCCTACTGTGAAAATCAGTGTATTCATGCATAATCCGAACCCTTCATAAGATTCGAACCAGCAGAATCAGGGTTATCAAACGAACGGCAAATGTGCATCCCTAACCTTAGCATGAAGAGCCAACCACCAAGCCTTTGTGATGTAAGCAGAAACAATTTCATTTTTTTATTACAGTGGAGGCCTCCTCTAGAAGTGAATGATCTTTATGAAGATATACGTGACGGAACGAAACTCATTGCATTGCTGCAGATATTGTCCGGAGAAAGATTGGTAAAACATTTATATTTTATATAAATTATTTATTTTAAATTTATTTTAATTTTATACTTTATATTTGGTGGAAATTTTATGTTAGGTTCTCACAACTTCTCAGGTTTATATTCTAATAAATTACTTTAGAATACATTCTGAATTGTATATCCTCTAACGCAGGGGTGCACAACACGAGGCACGCGTGCCAAATTTGGCACGCCAAACGCTCAAACGTGGCACGCGAACGGTTTTGTAAAATAAAGAAATATTTATGATATACATTAAAATATCACGTTTATATCAAAAACAGCAGTTTTTTTCAGGACAATAAATTGTTTCAATAAATAGATATCCGTTATCATGTATTGTTATTGCAATTTGTTTGTTTTACGGAGTCAATTTACAATACCACAATTGTGCGTGGCACGCGACAAGATTATTTTTAAAAATTTGGCACGTACCCTCATTTGAGTTGTGCACCCCTGCTCTAACGCACTAATCAAGCTTCAAGAGAAAAGGTTTTGTACTATGTGCATTTTCTTGTGGCAAAACTGCTAAGCTCATGAATAATTGATTCTGTTATCCTTTAGCTACAGCATTATCTCATACAGAGGCTTACCCAATTATTGATATATGCAACACAAAATGTTTCAAAGTTCGGTTTCAAACAAAATTTATAATTCAGGCGAGCTTGTAAAAATTGTATTTTCCCATTATGCATATACAAATAATTAACATTAATTTTAAGCAAAATTTTCCTTAATTTTTCAGTTTTCTTAAATCAATGTCTTGAACTTTTGACTAAAAGTGAACCAGAGGCTATATATTGATTTACTCGAGCTGCAGATATAAATTAGATGAATTAGCTAACTTCATGCTTTGGGTAGGCACCCACTGAATTATAACAATCACCGGTACTCCCAACCTGAGTTCGGGTTGTGCGCCATCTTGGTGCGCATACTTCAGGAGGTCCCAATCACCTATTTTGGGAAGGGCTGTAATCTTCTTCAATTTAGCATTGCCTTTCCACCCGGCATCGGGGGCACCAGTAGTGCCAACATTGTCAAGTCAAATGCTCAAACAATTAAACTAAAATTGGCTAATGGTTTATTCAAAACCAACTAAGGTTTCATATATTTCAGAGCAAAAGGTATTTTTAAAACCATATCAATATATTACTTTCTGATTTCAGGTTACAGAAACGAGTCGCAGATCACAACGTTTCGGTCATCTCACAAATATACAGACAGCGTTAGCATTTCTTGAAAATAAAAAGGTTTGTCACAATAAAGACTTAGTGTAGCAGTCACTAAGAATGTTCCATAAATTATATCCAGGTCTGCAGGTTTGAATCCTGTAGGGCAGGTGTCGGCAACCTTTTGTCGCTCGCGGGCCAAAATTAAGGGTTGAAAATCATTGGCGGGCCGCACATATTTTAGAAGTTGAAAACCGAACAGATGATACTTTTTATTATAAAAAAACAAGCAGTTATACATCTCTCGAATAGAATATAGATTTGTTCCCTCAAGGCAGCTCATAAAATTCCATTTGAATATTTTCAGTGCCATTGAACCCTTTGCACTTAGCATCAACTTTCCTGCGTTTTTTTGCCATTTGTCTGATTATAATTAAAACGGATCGTCAAAACGGATGTTTGGTTACTATAATTCAGTGAAGCGTTACGGGCCGGATTAAATTAGTCCGCAGGGCTTAGGTTGCCGACCCTTGCCGTAGGAATTATCATATATCACAAGATTGCTGAACTCCGCACTGCCGTAGTGTGGTTCATGCGACCGCTGGTCTGTTAGGGCTCCCTCTATCATCAAGTCCATTCATCTGAAAACAAGTAACTGATATACCTCATACCTGGCAAGGACTGGTAGCCGTACAAGAGGTCATGGTTTGCCACATGGTTAAACGATCTTTTATCGGTTTTCGCCTTTTTGTGATTAGATGATGTAACTGTGTTTTCACATCTCTGGGAGTCAGTAGTCGAGTTAACTTTATTTTCAAGTCTGGGTTATTTTTTCAATCTGAATCAGAATTCACTGTGCTGATTTTGGCCACCCTAGATGAATACCTTGCTAACACTAGGTGTCAGGATAGAGTTGCGAATTCTTGACTTCTCAGTTAAGGTAATCTCTCAATAACAACAATTCTGCGAAGTGTTTTTATCGATTCATCCTTTTCAAGTCAGTAGTCAGGGTCAATTTTTTTCATGTAGAAGTTAAAAAAAATTTATTATCTTGAGTCAAAAGTCGAGCCTATCGTAAATATTCTCCATTTTGATCCCTGATTTTGGCCGAATGTCTTGCTAAAGAGTACACTAGGTGTCAGAATGGAGTTGTGAATTCTTGACTACTCAGTTGAGGGCTTGAGGCGCTCATTAACAACAATGCAGCAAAATATCTGGGGAATGTTTTATCTGGAGTCGGAAGTTGGAGTTTATTATACATATTCCCAGAATCTGTTGGGAGTCTATTGTACATATTCCCTAAACCTAGTCCATAATTTTTGTCATCAAAATTCAAATACAGTAAATAATGCCTTGCTAAATAGTACACTAGATGTCAGAATAGAGTTGTGAATTCTTGACTTTTCAGTTGGGGCAATCTCTCAATATTAACAATATAGCATAACATCAGGGTAGGCTATGTTATATCTGGAGTCAAAATTTGAAGCCCATTGTACATATTCACGAAATTTGATTTATAATTTTTGTCTTCTCTATTCAAATACAGTAAATGCCTTGCTAAATAGTACACTAGATGTCAGGATGGAGTTGTGAATTCTTGACTATCTGGGCCGGGGTAGCTTCTCAGTAACAACAATGCAGCTATTTGAATTTTTATCGATTCATTCTTTCCAAATTTTTAATTTTCATTTCCAATCTTCTTTACTCTAATTCCTGATGAAAAATTTCAATATAAACTCAGCAGACATTGCATCCCCCAAATCCAAGATGCTTTCATCTCTTCTTCATTCTAATTTTCTTCACATTATTTTCAGATAAAACTTGTCAACATAAACCCAACAGATGTCGTAGACGGCAATCGTTCCATTATCCTAGGATTGCTTTGGAAGATTATATTGTGTTTCCAGGTAGGCTCAGTGCTGACAGTTTTTTATTTTTTATGTGAAAATGTTTGATTTTTGGCCTTAATAACGATTGTTTTCAGAAGCCACTTTTTACTCCTAATAAGGTCACTGATAGACTGCATAAGGAGCTGTTAGTATTTTTGTTAAAATTAACATAAGCATTTAAAATGGCATGATATGTTAGAAAAATGAGGGCTCCAGAAGTATGTGTACCAATATGGAGGTAACTAATTTTGTTTGCCTACTTTAAATCAAGTTGTATAAAAGGACGGAAGCCTATGGGCAGGGGGTATATTTACTTGGCTAACACAGACAGTCCCCGAACTCTCTTAATGGAACTAAAATAAGGAAAATCTGAATAAAATTATGGCCTAACCCTAACCTGGTACACACACTACGGTAGTACGGAAAATGTGTGATTATGCAAAAGGATTGCTTATGAATTAACAAAAGTCATGCTTACTCTGAAAATGTCTTTGTAAAGTGACCATTGATATGCAAGGAACTTTTAGGGAGGTTTTTTACACCCTGAGGTGCCATCGAATTCAAACTTGATATTTGACTTGAGATGACAATGCAAAAAATGCTTTGAGAAAGCAAATTTCCACATATATAGCTCTTGTAGGCTATAATTAGATTTGATTTTAAATTTTTTGGAGTCTTGAATCTTCGATATGAATTTTTCATCAGGATGAATGAGGTTTTTTCCATGAAACATATAAGATGAAAGATTAGCCAAACGCATGGCTGTTCAAAAGTTTTTTTTCCTGAATTTCAACAAGCCCATTATTGAAGTGTGTGAATCTCCACTTATGGCTCTGAACGATTATAATTTTATTTGATTTCGCACTATTTTGAAGCCTGGACTTTCCCAGCTAAATTTACTACTCGTTTGAGAATTCTGAATTGAAGTTTTTTCCCACTTTTTGCTAATTATTATTATTATTAGACATTGGTTTGAAAGATTTTGTATAATTTGTCTTTCAAATCTTGGTGTAATACTTGCTTTATTTCTCCCTATGGTCTATAAAAGTGGTTCTTAAAGTTTTTGAGCCGTCCCCCCTTTTTAGAATTTGTTGAGTCTCGCGTCCAGCTCAAAAATCACTAACTAACAATAAGCTACAAATAACAGATAGTAAGGTGAAAGTATGTTTTATTCAAAAAACATGTTTAAAATACATGGATGGGGGCTCCCGAAGTATGCGAACCAAGATGGCGGATATCGGAATGTAATATGTGTACTAGGTTAGGGTTAGGCCATAATTTTAGGTATAAATACTACGGGAGGCTCTTGGCTAGTCTTCGAACTGATAATAGGACTAAATAAGGAAAATTGGAAAAAAATTATCGCCTAACCCCAACCTGGTTACCCATGTTACGTTCCGATGTCCGTCATCTTGGTTCGCATACTTCGGGAGCGCCCTTCTTGTCCAAGCCCCCATTGTGCGCCCCACTGTTTGAGAGCCACTTCTCTATAAGCTTTCTGGAATTTATAATTAGACGTTTCACCATGGGTTTGAGGGATTTTGTAAAAGCCAGTCTCTCAAATCTAGGTGTAATATTTGCATTATTTTGTCAAATTTTAACACTTTCCATTTCCAAGATTCATCGTTTGTTACCGATATTTCCGGTAAGTCATTTCACAACTTAACGTGATTAAATCTGGCAACAGTCATTTAGCAATCAAGAGTCATTCACTAATTCATTTTTCACTTTAATTTATGTAGCAAGGGTTAGGCATTGCAATGTAAAATTAGGAAAGGTAAACACACGTGCGGTGAGTTTCGCATTGTGCTAAGCGTGAGGATTACACTTTCATATCATGCATTATTAATTGATAACTGTCTGAGAGGTCATTGTGCGCCATGAGATTAAGCCGTCTTATCTTCTTCGCTCTTTCTCAGGATATATTGAAAATCTTATCCTAGAAAGGATTTTCTACAGCAATGTCTAAAAAAACATTTTAATCAATTAATCAAAATTAATAATTATTGCTATTTCATGCTGCAACTCAATGCTATAAGGTCTTTTCTCTCTCTCTTGGATAAGTATGAAAAATTATATCCTGACTAAAGAGGCGTAAAATAGCAGCACTGTGACTTGACGATTATGAGTAGAATATTCCGAACAGTTGCGCCTCATTTATTCCTGTTCATGGAACAATCTGAATAGTACTGAAGTAGCACAGTGGACACGATTAGTTTATTGCATCTATCATGCAAGTATTTTTACACTCCACGTACAGTCCTACGTAAGTTATTTCACATAAAGATCTAGAAATTTTTATGTGTTTTTTACTTATGATCTTACACCTCACATGAAGTTTACACATATGCATCCTTCAATTTGTATATGTCATAATTGTCAATAAATGTATTGTTCACTTCTCATGGGTATATACACGCCAGCCAAGTATTTCATTACACATCACATACCATTTATCACATAGTATATGGTAATTTTTATGTGCCACATCTGTAAAATATTTCATGTCACATCACATGCATGATTTTCACTTCTAATTTTATGTGCATAATTATTTTCACATGCAATATATTTTATACGATTGCTGTACGATAACTGTACAATTGAAAATTCATTTATTTGCCGACTAATTAAAAGGCTGGGCATTATTGGTTTAATTTCTGCTCAAATCTTGAACCAATTTGTATTTGGGGCATATCATTCTGTTTCTTTTTAAATTTTTATTTGAGCAAAAAAGTTGACTATATGATAACATATTTGAAAATCTTGTTCTAATCAGTATTTACTGACATGCAATGTGACACCATAATTCTGTATGGCTTTCAAATTTGCTGTGACATTTATTTGACCAGAATCCTTTAAAAGTTGGTACAACTGTAAATTGAATAAATAAATTCTAAATTTGAATTTCTGTCTGAATCTCTTTGCATTTTATTGAATGCGACAACATAATAACATAATTTTGTATGTTTTTCAAATTCGTTCAAAGTTATGTCTTAAAATTAGCACATCCCAGGACAGGGGTGTGCACCAGGCGCCCGCAGGCCACAGCCCAGCCCTCCAAGCCATTTAGTGTGTCCCTTGTCAACATACCATCAAGCATATAATCCTAATCTGTCAGATTGTGTTCTAAAAGGCGCTCACATGGGTAAAAACAAATAATGATTTTTGCTCTTGACGCAGCGTAAAATCTATTGCCGTTTGCCCGGTGTTTTTATTACCAGAAGGGTAAGTGATAGCCGCATTCTCTCCTCTTGCCTTTCCCGCGGCGCTCTGGTTGTCTCTAATTTTTTAATAAATCGTGTGCATAGAAAAGATACCGTATATACTCGCCTATAGGTCGTGCCACCGTATAGGTCGCACTATTAGTTTTGTGTTAAAAATGTTTAATTTAGAGTTGACTCGCATAAGTCGCACTGAAAATCTAGGGATTTTCCCCTTTCCCTAGCTTTTTTGCATAGATAACTTCCCATTTTTATTTTTTTTGTAGGGCTTAATATAATCTAAATATGTTAATGACACCTATGAGCGATAATAAGGGCATGTACGCAAGCGCTACGGCATCTCGATCACCTCATAGAGCTTGCCAAATATACATGAAATCACCCGAAATGGCATCGGCGCCGACGATAAAGAACTTACTAACGTCCTCGATCTCTCTCATTTTGGGATCGCGACGAGAAAACAAGAGATATAGCCGTTCGATTTACACGAGGCAGAAGACAAGGTGGTTTGTTTGCGTAAGCAGTAATTACTGGTGCCTGACTTGTGCAACGCTGAGGGTCGCGTGTGCGCTCATAAAACTGTCTCACATTAGTATGTGCGTGCACGAGCGCATGCACCCCGTATGTCGAGCAGATAGGTCGCACCTATTATATAAGGAAAAAAGTTGCGGCCTATAGGCGAGTATATACGGTAATTTTTTGTGTGGCCCAGCTAAATTTCTGAAGTTGGTTATACCGACAAAAAATGTTGCCCCTGGTCTGAAACAACTCATTTGATATGTCAGATATGGCCTAACATGGGTTGAAGATAAGCTAACATAATGGTTATTTGAACTCTACCACTGTTTTTCTATATGATATTTCCAAATACAGCTCTGGACATGTAGCACCACGTTGTTACTATATATTGATAGTAATAATAAACAAACTGAGCCACTGTTGTATCTAAATCCCGAGTCTCAAAACAATCAACGTGAACCCCCGGTAATCAGACACCGAACAAAGTTGTGATATATTGACTAACGATTTGTTGAAACAACAATTTATTGACCAGATGTTTCTAAATTAAATCTTTGTGTTGATGTTATTGTCCTTGTCCTCCGCCCAACTAATGAATTCTTAAAATCTCTCCCAAGTTTTAATAAGCATAATCACTTTCTCAATTGCTCGCAGCACGCTGTCTTATGAGATTTCACAGTTTGCCTGCAAAGCCGTGAATTTTACATTGTTGCGTCACAATCACAACAACGCAACATCAGGAAAAATCTACGTTCCAATTGGCATCTAGTTTCAATCAACACGCATTTTCCTCTGATAGTAATAAAGGATATTAAAAAATAGCAACACACAAAAACTCGACTGCCGTCCAAGTACCCCTGATCTAAATGATCATTGTCAATCTATCATAAACCCAGCTTTTAGCTCATTGAATCATTCATATTGTATATATGTGTATATTTTTAATAAGTCATTTTACTTCTTCACTCTGGCACTTGAGAAGCACCCTCTGAATACATAAAGAGTTACCTTTTTCATTTTTGAAGGCTTGATTATTTCTGGTTCGGCATTGTCTAACTGATTTCTTACACCCAGTGTGTAGGCGGAATACATGGGGTTTGAACCGGGGCAACGTCAACATAGTAAAGTCCAACCAATTAATCACACTCGTCTTTTCAGATATAATTCTTTAATTAGCTGCATCGCTCTATCATGTTAACTTTAACTCCCGAGCAAGTCTCGCCCATATCTGCATTATTAATTGGTGCATATTGTACCAATATTATTTTGTATTGCTTGAGTAGCTCTTGACATAACAGTGTCTGTGTATGCGTGTGATCTTGCTTAGAGATGTGTTGCTCTTTTCCTAATAAATCCACATGGCTTTGCTTGTTACAAAATTCTTATGAAAATGTGTAATCTCATTCTACATTAATTTTCATCAATTGATTTGTACAATTTTTACAACCAGATTGAAGAGCTCACGAACAATCTCGCTTTCGCAAGTGATCTGTCCACAAGTACGTCCAGTATCGATAGTTTTGCTACAGATGGGGGAGGACCGCCCAAGAAAAAGAAAGCTGGAGCAAGATCGAAATGGAAGGGAGCCGCAAAGAAGGCTCTATTGCAATGGGTGAAGAAGAAAACTGCAAGGTTTGTGAATTTTTTCTTCGGCGCGGCGGTGTGGCTCAACGGGCTAAGCGTTAGGAATACGCTCGCCACCGCACCTTTAATTACTCTGCGTGAGTTCGCAGGTTCGAATCCCATGCAGGGACGGTTATGTGCGAGAGGATTGCTGGACTCCCCGCCGTCGTTGGGTGGTTCACGTAACCGCTGGTCGGTTACGGCTTCCTTCACCACCAAGTCCGTGCTTCCGAAAACAAACAATATAACTAATCCCATACTCGACTTGGAATGGTAACCGGACGAGAGGCCGTGGTTCGCCATATGGATAAGCCGTCTTATCGGCTTTCCTCTCCCTCGGGATAAATATGTAAATCCTATCATATCTTATCTTAGCATTTTTATGTTTCCGCTTCACGCCGATAGCTCTCTCCTATAGAGGAGGTATTAAAATGATTTATATCATGGTTTTGCAACCTGTCCATGGGCCAAATGCAGCCCACAAGGAAAAATTGTGCGGCCCGCGGAGAGGTTCCAATTTTTAATGGTGTGCGGCCTGCACCGTAAAACAAATTTTTACTTTATTTTAATCTGAGTAATTCTATCCCTTTACGTTGCAAAGCCTATACCTGAGCTCAATTCAATATCTATGCCTATGATCCGCAGGTTTTGTCAATTTTTGCAGTAATAACCAAGGAAATTAAAGCCAGATAGTTTGTTATTTATCAAATACAAAATATATTGAATAGTAAATAAAATACAAAGCAGCTGATTTCGGTTTAGATTGGCAGAAAGCGATAGGATTGACGATCATTGAAATCGGCCACCATATAGGGCGGCACCTAGTGGAGGGGGTTTCTTGTTATACCCCTCATTTGAAATGTAAAAAATGGATTTTTCTTTGTCATTAAGGGCAATTTTACGTAGTTTGAAAAGCTTTTTAGACCCTCAGGGTGTTTGAAAACCCTCGTTTCCGACTGGACCGCTTGATGTTACGGTTTGACTTGGCAATTTAAAATTTCAACCCTTCACTCCTTTGAGAATTCCTAGCTACACTCCCGACCACCGCCCAACTGAAGAATAGATATAATATAAATTCCTATGAAATGGATATAGAAAAAAGGCAAGATGTTAGTTGTAAAGATGAATGTTAAAAATATCTTATTCCTTCCTTTGTGCAAACTTTGTAGCCCGCTGGAATTAAAAGAGGAATTGAGGTTGGTGTAATGTATAATTCAGTGTAATGTAAATCGGGCTCTCCAAACTTGGGGTCGCGACCCTGCAGGGGGCGCACAACAGATTTTAGGGGTCGCAAAGAGTACACCATTTTCACACAAAGTACAATATCTGTTGCACTATTTAGACTTTTGATTCAATACACAATTATTAAAACTAGTGTTTAACATAAATCTCACGATTTCGAGAGAATACATTGCACTGTTTAGCATTTTAAACGTGAACAGGGGTCACGAAAATTTTAATATATTGGATGGGGTCGCGAACTTAAAAATGGTTGAAAGCTTGAATGGTTGAGATGTGAATAATTATGTTCGTTTGTCATTGTAATATATGTTGTGTGCGGAATGGGATTTGCTGGAAATCTTGTTTTGTGAATGTTTACTCCGGTGGTTCATGGTTTTCAAACAAATACTCCTGATACTTGATGTCCTCCGCTCTTCAATAAAAATAACAGTTTTCTAAGGAGTTTTCATCAGTTAGTTTATACAAACTGAAGGCATAAATACATTACGATCAAAAAATTGAACAAATCACTGTTGGCTAACTTTAAATTAGTGTAGTTATGACAAAAAAAAATTTTGTGAGTGGAAAGAAAATCGTAACAGTTGTCTAAGTTCCCCCACCATTTAGATTTTCGAAATATTAAATATATATATAGCACCAGCCTTATTGTGAAAGAGGGCTGTCTTTATGCGCCAAGCACCATAGTGGTTACCCACTGGGTTTGTGTACCATTTCATTTTGCCATTTTCATTTTTTTTTTTTGAAGGGTTTTCTGTTTCTGATTGTTTGGATTTTTTACGAATTTTGTAATTTTTTTGTACCATTTTCCATTTTGTATTTTTTTTTCTGGAGTTTTGTATTTTATTATTTTTTTGGTGGCGTTTTCAATGGCATCAAGGTTTGTCTTTGTTCTAATAGTGGTGCTTGACAGGCTCGGACAGCCATTTGTATCAGGTATCATATTCATATATATATCTATTCAAACATAATAATCTAGCGTTTGTGGTGTCAGAAGTTATTATTTGTTTTAATGACGCTGTACACACCTCATTTCACCTGTCATAACACACCTCCAACAAAGGTATGAAAAGAATGATTAGTCATTCAGTCAATAATTTATCTGCACCAGTGCATGCTTTGAATTACTCAAAAGAAACCACTAAACCACCAATATAGTGCAAATTTACATAATCTAGATGTTTGCTATTAATATCTTTAATAGTCATTATTCATATTTCATACAAGTTGCTATAATTACTGATTTTATATACATGCATGGGTGGCTATGACAGTGCACACTGCATCAGTTAGTATAGCAATTTGAGTTAATCACTAACATAAATCAATTTTATCCATTGTTAAGATTATATTTAGAAAGTTTTGTTATCAGGTCGTAACCCCTCTGAAGTGTTTTTAAAATTGCGAACCTAAGAACTAACGACTCATTGTAATTTTATAAAAATGAATTTGGTGAATAGTTAAGTTTTAATATTCTTGCCTCAGTCCGTCAAGGATGACCAATATCATTCCAAATGAGATTTTTCCCAGGAGTTTTTTATTTGGATGAAAAAGTCTAAATACTACTCTAGACTTGACTTTAGAAGGGCTGCCAATTCTGTGCCTAGAACTGAATATAAATTCTGCTTTCTGAAACTTTGTCCAAAGATGGCGAGTCTCCTTCACTTTTGAGTGAATTATGGTTGCTAAGTTGTGGGAGTAGAACCAATGGCGCTCCAGAAGTATGTGTACCAATATGGAGGTAACTAATTTTGTTCGCCTGCTTTACATCAAGTTGTGTAAAGGAACTGAAATCTATGGGCAGGGGGTGTATCAGCTTGGCTAACACAGACAGTCCCCGAACTCGTAATAGAACTAAAATAAAGAAAATTGGAATAAAATTACGGCATAACCCTAACCCATTACAAATACTATGGGAGTACCGAGCCAATTTGAAACAAACAGATTTATGAAAGGGGCTGTCTTTATGTGCCAAGCACCATAGTGGTTAGACCACTGGGTTTGTGTACCATTTCAATTGCCATTTTTAATTTTTTCAATGCAAGCAAGGTAGTAGTAGTAGTAACTTTTTTTGGGTTTTCCATTTTGTATTTTTTTTCCGGGTTTTGTATTTTATAATTTTTTTGTGGCAATTTCAATGGCAGTAAGGATTACCTTTGTTCTAATGGTGGTGCTTGACGGCCCGGACAGCCGTTGGTATCAAATATCAAATTTATATATATACCTATTCACATATAATAATCTAGCGTTTGTGGTGTCAAAAGTGATGCTGTGCACGCCTCATTTCACCTGTCATAACACACCTCCAACAAAGGTATGAAAGGAATGTTGAGTCATTGAGTCAATGATTTATCTACACCAGTGCACACGATGCATTACTCAGTATAGTAATATACTGATTTAACAACTAAATCACCAGTATAGTACAAATTTACATTATCTAGATCTGACAGGACCTGCAGCACAAAGCTTATTGTTTTCTGCATTTACTTTTTTAACACTGTAAATATTGTTCATAAAATGTAACTTGTTACGTCACACTTGCATGGCCCTTGGTACAAAAACCCTGCCAACCTCTGATCTAGATGGTCGCTACTGGGATTTTCATTAGCTATGAACAATTTTTATATTCTATATGAGTTGTTATTATTACCAAGTCCTGTACATTCAAGGGTGGCTACAACAATGTATCCTATGTCATAATATAGTTAATATAGCAGTTTGATTAAGATATTTATTTTAGTCATATGCAAAACCAATATGCAATTTAAATGATAAATAAATAAAATAAATGCACTTTATTACAAGATTGGATCTCGGTGTTAACTCAATATAAACGTATTGTAGTAAATATGTACACAAACATTATCAAAGTAATCCCCAAGACATACCAACAGGAATGCGCTCTCAAGTACAGAGCAAATGACTACTTCATCTTCACAGCTGGTTGGTCATGATCAATCATCTGTAACTGATGACATCACAGGTCATGCTCAGCCATCTGGGAAAACGCTAGTTGCCAGGAATACAATAAGGATACAGTTGACCATTTGCAAGTAGTTGCGAACAGTAACACCATGTATCTTACCGTAATTGAAGTAGCAAATATAAGAATGAAAAAACTAAATACTAGACATTTATTGATTACACACAATCAAAATGAAGAGGAAAGACATAAAATTTGAGTGTACAGGGCAAGGGCGGGCAAGGATTTTGGAGCAGGGATCTGGTTTTGAAACAAACATGCTAATGGAAAAAGACTGTCATTATGCCCCAAGCATCATAGTGGGTTTTTACCATTTATGTTGAGGATATTGTTGGTGATTTTTTTTTGGTGATTTTTTTTCGATGATTTTGATCTGGGCACAGTGCTTTTTTTTTCCCTTTTTTAGGGGCACTTTTAGTACCATTTTATCTGTCGTGCTTTGTGGCAATGCCATCAATATTCGACAACTTCTATCAAGCATCATAGTGGGTTTTTACCATTTATGTTGAGGATATTGTTGGTGATTTTTTTTTGGTGATTTTTTTTGGTGATTTTGATCTGGGCACAGTGCTTTTTTTTTCCCTTTTTTAGGGGCACTTTTAGTACCATTTTATCTGTCGTGCTTTGTGGCAATCCCATCAATATTCGACAACTTCTATGGCGGCAAGGATTTGCCTTTAATTTTATAGTGATGCTCGATGGGCTCGGACAGCCATCTGTATTAGATATCATATTGATATATATACCCATTCAAACATACTAATCTAGCGTTTGTGGTGTCAAA